GCTCCGCCAGGGAGCGAACACACAACCTTCCGATCCGCAGGCGAGCGTATAGCCGCTCCGCCACGGCGACTCCCTAAAAGTACCACACTTAATTTTAAAACCATATAATTCAGAGTTCCTTATTTTGTTCAAGCTTTTAAAAGTTGCTGATGCTTTGCAAAGGATTTCATAGTTTGTTACTTTTTTCCCCTTGACCAGAATTAAAATTAGATATCATTTTACTTTTTTAGTTATGATTTATGAGTTATGAGTTAACTCATAACTAAATATGCAAAATGTTGATATCAGTTTACTTATTTAATTTGTAACGTTTACTAATTAAATAAGTAAAATGATGAGTTACTTAAATTCTACTTGTCTCTTGATTACTTACTTAAAAAATGAGCAGGTGCGCGGACTTTCTTTTTCCCCGGGCTGCTTTGAATTCAACTGAGGAGTTAAGTTGAGAATTGACATCACAGCACTCGGGGCATTACCATGCGTGCTCCGTTCTCATCTTCAGCAGCCAGCACAGAGTTCCAGTACTGATGGTACTGGTAAACTAAATAACCTGCCCAGCCTCGGTCTGCTTCGTGAAGGTTTAACACCCTGAGACTAAAGAATTTCAATCCGGATGGCAAACCAGCAAGGAACTCCTAGTATTGTAAGATCAAAAGAAGTTATAACTGGAGCTACCGCAACGGCAGCATCAGTCTGGCCTGACCTGTAGCACTATGTAGGTAAGGATTAGGGTCTACCGTGCTATGAAACAGAAAATCGGCCAAACCAGGCGGCACCGTAAATGGGCAACATAAGCAGCGAAATCAAAATATAGTTGGATCTTTTAAGGAGAGGCATTTCGAAGACTTACATCAAACTAAGAAATGCTTCCGCACAGCACAGTTAAAGAGTCTCCTATTTTAGTACAAGACAGAAAAAGCTGATAAATAAATTGTTATTTATCGAGCAAGCAATCAATGTGCAAGGATTGTTTTTATTTATTACTTTTTAATTTACTGAATTGTTTTGATCAAAACCGGCTGCATCAAGATACGAATGATGATACGAATGATGAGCTATAGGACGTTAACCATGTGAGTTAAATGAGATTTAACGGGTTATGCACTTTCATGCATTACAAATATTCTATCTTAACAGACCTATCATTAGCTTGTTTAATCTATGTTTTAGCCGTGTAATAGACAACCTTTTAGGGTGACAGTCAAATTATTAATAATGTGTTATAATGTTACAGCAACGTCTAGCTTGAATAATCACTGATTATTGTCTCTCAATATACCCATTATGTGATATAATTGAATGTGTTTAGGCGAAAGCGATGCTATTGATATTACGAAAGGAAAATAATCAGAAAATAAATTAAAATTTATATCGGAAAAAAAATTAAATGTTTGTGGGAAGGTTATTGACAGCGTCGATGTTTAAGGGTTATGAACAAAGGTTTAAAAAATTTCAGCATTCTAGGTTCTATTCAACTGAGGGTAATTTTGTAGAAGATCTCTCTGCGTTCATTTTGACAGTATGTGCAGCATATATTGATCTGTGAAAAAAATATGTGGAAGCGCACAGATGCAGTTTTACACACTAAGGCGAAGAACACACTATGTACATAAAAAGAGTAATCAAAAAGAACCAACTCTCGAAAAGAACTGATTGCTTACATCAAGAAGACAATCTACATTCTCGGCCATGTAATGAAACTGAGAAAACTACATCGTGAAGGTGGGACAATTGTAGAAGAGAAGAAGAAGATGGCGACTTGGAGAGAAGATGATGGTCAGCATGAGAGAACATTTCTGTGAAAACTCGGAAGACAGAAGATTGTGCATAGACATGACTACCAACGCCACACAGAATGGACTAAGAGAAGAATCGTCCATAAAGCAGTTTCAAACTAATAATTGCCACATTGCTTTGTAAAGCCATAAACAGGCAATACAGGCTGTGTTGGTTTGCCAGGTTTTGAAAGGTCAGTGAAACCAACTTTAATTTCAGCGTTCTAGCGGGTGCTGCCGTTGTGGACGGCTAAACGCTTCTTTACTGATTAGAATTTTTTTATTCCAATCCAAAAGAAGCTTAACTGAAAAAAGCCCTCGGCTCCAGTTTCATTTTAAATATTATATATATATATATATATATATATATATATATATATATATATATATATATATATATATATATATATATATATAAAGAAACGATGAAATGTCAACTACTTTCAACCTGTTGCATTCAATTATTATTACGGTCTATGTTAATTTACATCAAATCCATGGCTAATAAGTGTTCACCACCAACAAGCCTTGAGTGGGCGTCTGTAGTTTTGATGCAATGATTGCTCTTCTCCTTCTACCCGACCAGTGACTACTCGCCCATTGGGGGAAGCAAAGCAGTGGCCACTCGAACATCGATCCATTGGCTCGAAAGCCGATCCAGTCTAAAAAAGGTATCAGGTAAGGTCCGTCGAAGTAACAGTGGCCTGCGTGATGTTGACCATATCCTTCACTAGATGCCGATTGATATATTCAGTATCGGTCTAACATTATACGTCTAATACGACTGAAGGCGTGTAACAGGGTCCTTTACATTCAGCAGCATCATTATCCAGTTTTATGGTGAACTTATGTAGCAGCGGAAAAACACTCAACTGCCAGCCTGACGTTCTGGGGTTCATATCCCAATCGAGCTCCAAATATATTCAGACTTAGGCTCCAACTAACATTTTACACACATCTACTTGACATGATTAACCTGTTCTTATTGCAGGAAAACAACTATAAGACCATGATGGTCACACGTATTTCGGGATCTATCCAAACCAAACAACTGGTTTCAGTACTTTTCGACAAAGAAACATACTGAGAATTTTAAAACTATAAATGATGGCTGTCTGACATGGAAGAAATAAGCATTAAGCCCAGAGACCGCGCAAATACCAAAACTTTAGCCACGAAAGTGGCACAAATAAACAAAACCACAAATATAGCAGGAGACTGCTGGCACCTTCGGCTGGCTAGCAGCAGGTTGAACGTGGTTGAGTTTTTGATTTGTTTTTATTAAAAGGAATTGGAATTTGAATATATTCGGATATTACTTTGGCTTCCACGTTGACTCACTCTAAAGTACCAGTAATTTCATGAGAAGTAAAGGCGGCCGGCGCGATAAATCCCACACTACCCATCGAGTGCTGATTTGTTTATACACATTTGAGTCTAACACTCAATACACGTTTAGGGCAGCAGATTACTGAGCATAGTATGCTCACCTGCAGGCGGGAGCCGGGGTAAAGAAAGTACGACCGCTTTGCTGAGTGCAAATAGACACTGGCGTGTAGTGGTGCCATTATCATTTCTATGCATAAAGACTACAGATGCAAGTTAGTAATATGAAACTCTGACCTGTTTCCTGTTTACGATACAAAATGGGTTTAAAATAAGGGGGCAGTGTTTCAGTTCTTCTTCTTCTTTTTCTTCTTCTTCTTCTTCTTCTTCTTCTTCTTCTTCTTCTTCTTCTTCTTCTTCTTCTTCTTCTTCTTCTTCTTCTTCTTCTTCTTCTTCTTCTTCTTCTTCTTCTTCTTCTTCTTCTTCTTCTTCTTCTTCTTCTTCTTCTTCTTCTTCTTCTTCTTCTTCTATTTCTTCTTCTTCGTAGTTGTTTACGTAAACCCAGTTGATTGTCCTCTTGAGTCCACGATAGATATATACCTGACGAGTTCGTAACCCGACTGTTGATTAGACAAGCGAACATTTACAATTACACAAGATTGATCTGTTAGACTAGCGGTTCTCAGCCTGGGGTTGCGACCTTTTTTTGGGGGTCGAACGACCCTTTCACAGGGGTCGCCAAAGACCATAGCAAAACACATATTCAATGAAGTTATGAAGCAGCGATGAACATAATTGTATTGTTGGGGTCGCCACAACGCGAGAAACTGTATCAAAGGGTCACGACATTAGGAAGGTTGAGAGCCACTGTGTTAGACGGTTACGGATCTGTTAAACATTGTTCCAAATACATAATACAACTGCGCATTTAATCACCAAGCAATGAATAGCTTTCAACAATAATACCCAGACTAGTCAAGTAAACACCGCTTGTAAAGAATTTCTATTTGTAAAAACTGTTTTTCTTCTCCTGTGTTTATTACTGTGAGTGATTGATCTGGAGGTACTGTCAGGCCAGATGAAAAGGACAAAGACAGTCCGTATATGTATGTATATATATATATATATATATGTGTGTACATACAAACATACATATACACACACAAACATAAATGTGTAAAGTGTCTGGCAAAATTGCTGCTACACGTTAATAGTTAATGCAGTATGTTACAAATATTATAGGCGGAAATGATGGATGGTTTTCCAAACTGAACAGCAAGCAGTTTGAGGGAATTAAAAGATTCGCTTTTGTTGTATTCTTGTGTATTGATAGTCTGTAGTATTGCTATTCAAAGGATCTTATTTCTGTAGGCAAGAAAAACTGAAAATGTAGCCATATTTCTGACTCACTGTGTGCATATGGCAATGTTGTCATGAATATCCTTTTAAAAAAAAAAATAATAATAATATTAATATAATAATAATAATAATACAAGCACAAGTAGCATAACATTAACGTTACCATTCATTTTAGCAGTAACTATATCGTGGAGCCACTGCTGTCTCCTTTAGTGGTGGTAGAGTCGCGCCACCTTTCAGAAAGCACACTCGGGAAAACGTTGAATCCCACATTCAGCAGATAACATCAGCTGATGTTTGTTTTGTTGATATAAGGATTACATAAACTTACATTTCTTGTTCATGTGAATGCACATTCCACAATGCTCTCCTTTTGATTTAAAAGTAGTTTATCTCGACTTGAGCAAGTTCAAAACGAGCGATCTACAATTTCTAACATTTGCACTTAGTAAGGCCATCATAGCTGAGTAATGTTAAACAGCACAGCTCAAACTATTAAGGACTGAATCAAAGAGAACAGTTTGTGTATTCGGACAAAGGTCACGTTGCAGTCTCCTCTTCTGACATGCGTTTATGCTGTCCCAAGTTGTTACTTTCTTGTTGTTCATGCTCGACAGAAAGTTGTTTGGAATCTACGTGGTTTCCCGTCACGCAGTTGTTTGCGACAACGTTTAGCCGAACCTTTTCAGAGTCGGTGTCATAGAATGCCTTGATGTCTTTCATCTGAACCACATTGTCGTTTCCGTTTTTCATAGGTGATCGGTTAAGGATGACGGACGGCTGTTGAGTTTCCACACTGGTGTACTGGGTGTAACTGTTGGAGGTACTGCTGTCACCTCGCCCAAAGAAAAGACAAGGAAGCACCTGCCGGAATTCCTTCTTGAAATTATCATTCATCCAAGCGTAGAGGAACGGGTTGTAAATTGTGGAACTCATGGCGATGACATGGGCCACAAAGAATATGAGGGTGAAGTAGTACCAGTACTCGAGTGATTTATCGGCGTCTCTCCACAGGTGAGCTATGTTCAGGGGCATCCAACACAAGACGAAGATAACCACCTGATGAATAAAGCAAAAAACCAAAACCAGTGAGCATATTATTGATTCTAATTATTTTTATAATGCAAAATGTCAATAATTTGTATAGAGTGCACATTTCTGCTGATTCAAAAGGCAGTTTAAATTCGAGGGGAGTGGACTTTTACAGGCTGTTATTCCATATGGATCGATCTCTCAGCACAAAGGAGTTTGTTGTCTGTCAAGAGCTTCTAATTCCGTAGCTAGGGTGACAATCATCAAAGAATAACTTGAAAAACAGTTTTCTTTAAATTGTGATCATCTGTTTGTGTCTCAGCAAAGATCAACTCCCCAAATGATCATGATATCCTCTAGCTTGTCTGCATTAACACAAGGTGCAGAACCAGCCATTTTGTATACTGGTTCGTTTTTCAACACACCTGCATCTACTAGAGGACATTTCCGAAGGAGGCTGAAAAGAAAAAGAAAAAGAAGGAGGAGGGGAGGAGGAAAAGAAGAAGAAGAAGAAGAAGAAGAAGAAGAAGAAGAAGAAGAAGAAGAAGAAGAAGAAGAAGAAGAGATGGCAAAGGAAAAGCAGATTACTTATTGTTTGTGGAAAGGAATTGCAAGGGGGAAAAATAATAATGGATTATTTTTGTTGATACGTGATGATCAAGAGAGTCATCTTATTAGGAAATATTTACAATCTACGACCCAGTTCTATTTGTCTGTAAACTGAAAGCACAGCTGAATACGTTCATTAGGAAGATTTAAAATAAAAGTGCTATTTCGCAGATGCGAAAATGGAAATGGGGTACAAGCAGGATTTACGGATATCTCTTTAATTATTCCTAAATTGGAAATGCTTGCAAAAACAGAAATTATAGAATGAAACGAAATATCTCCTGTTTCTTGTGAGTAAGCATTAAGAATGATACCCTCATCCCCCACTCCCTCAATGTGAGGCATTTATGTGAATCGTAAAAGGGGAGAATATCATTGAAGAGAAAACGAAGGACAGCCCTGTGGCACACAAATTAGGAAGAGTATAGAAATGCAGACCAGGACAAAAAGATAATACAGAAATATAAGGAAAGGAATCACAGAAAAAAAAAGATTTTTAATGTAAAAGAAAAGAATCATTCAATGGAGATTTTCCCAGTGACATTTCTTATTTTATATTGGACGATAAACACTAAGGTAAAAATGTGATAGAAAGCTTTGTAAAAACGAGTAATTTGATAGTTATCTGAAAATGCAAGGATGAGCTGTAGCATTGATACTTCCGTACATTGCATGGGAAAGAAATGCAGGGCTCAGTTAAATCTTTTTGTTCCAGGCGGTTTGGCAGTGTTTTTTTCCCACAATGGATAAAATAACCAAGGAGAAACAAAATCATTAGTTCATTACTTCTAAAGATACTAAATACATAGTAGATGTTTCAGAAAATCAACTCAATTTTGAACAAAGAACCACAAGCAATATTTGCTTCATTGTTGTAATTGTTGCAGTAGTGAACACTTGACTAGTTAAAGCTATATATGCCAGGCAATACACTGTGCAATCTGTTGCTTGTGTCTTCTTTGTTCAAGCATAATAGATGTAACAGCTTCCATTGACAGTATGGGCTCGAAGCTGTCACATCTATTATGCTTGAACAAAGAAGACACTAAACAATCTTTGCTTCAATAATGTAATCGTTACTGTAGTATACACCTGACTAGATACACCATATATGCCAGGCAATAAATTATGCAATCTATTGTTTGTGCCTTCTTTGTTCATGCATAATTAATGTGAAAGCTTCTATTGACAGCATGGGCTCGAAGCTGTCACATTTATTATGTTTGAACACAGAAGACACAAACAATATTTGATTCATTGAGGTAATTGTTACTGTTGTATACATACACACCTGACTAGATACAGTGATATATAAATTATGCAATCTGTCGTTTGTGTCTTCTTTGTTCAAGCATAATAGATGTGATAGCTTCGTGCCACATACTGTAAATCGAAGCTCTATAGAATTACGTTTATCTTTAAGGCACAAATGAAACTTCCACATATACCAACAGAATAAAAATAACTCGCGTGGGTTCCGGGGGCCCATTGTGGGGGAAAACAAGAATACACCCACTGCCTTCCTAATAAGCATGTCGCAGGTGTCGACTACCTGGGAGCTTCCTTCGACGTCGGAGAGCATCTGCCCGAGCGGCAACGAAGAACAGTACTCGTGAATTTCGTACAACGGTACGAGAGTCGCTATCGTAGAAGATATTGGGGATTCCACACTATATTCTCAAAGATAACAGTGTTACTGCACTATGGCTAACCTTTATTGCGGAGACGACACACAGTTTTGAAGAAATTTGAAGAAATATGTGTGAGGCCCCACTCCCAAAAACATGTTTGAAGCCACGAAAACATTCCAACCCTGTGTGCTGAGGCCCCAATCTTTTCCCAGGTGCGAATGTCATACCAATGTATTTTCGAAGCTAAAACGATAATGGGCTTTTTTTCCAACCCTGCTGACCCATCACAGAGTGGAATCGAAAATATGGGACGCTCTGCCCCTATGCCCGACGTAGAACATTATAAAATCTTTATTTTACTAACCTCATTTCACTAACCTCTAAGCCATAGATAGAGATGCACATTTGCTTAACTCTTTCAGTGCCAAACAACGCGTTGTACGTTTGTGAAATTTTGTAAGATACAATAGTTTTATAGCTGTTTTGTATCACTGGCAGGCATTATATTAATTCCCGTATCCAACTTATTACAGGAAGGAAGGGCAGGTGCCGACCAAAACGAAGATGGGCGTAATGTATAAGTGATTCCTTGAATATGAAAGCTCACCAAGGGAGAAGAGTTCACGAGAGACCGAGTCCCCTTTAGTCAGATCGTGATGAGAGCCATGTTTGGCAAAGGATCTGCTACAAGATGATGATGATGATCAGACTTATTTTTTTTTTTTTAAACCACTTCTGCCCCATGGAGTCTATGTTTAACACATTCGAACCGAAGTATGTTTTACTTGTAAAGATAGCTGTTTTTAATAGAGAAATTGGCTCTCTCGAAGTCGGAGTACATCTGTCCGTGAGGCAGAGAACGACAAACCCAGTAAAACGGTTGCACACGCAAAACTCAGATCCAGATAAAAGCCAAAAGTCCAAATGGACGATCTACCGCCGGAATTTACAGCCGGTGAAAGAAGAAGACGAAGACAAAGAAATGAATTTCATAATATCTGTAGACTCTTAGAGTTTTGAACATTCTAAAGAAATTATGCTTCTCAAAGTGGTACTTAAAAATTTTTCTAGCATGGCTGGAGGCACACATCTTCACTCGGACATGCTCCATTAGTGAATCAAATGAGCGTGCTCAGGAAACAGTGGCAAAAGAGGGGTCTGTTATCACGGAGCAGGGTGAAAAATGGCAAAAATAAAGGTTCACATTAAAAAAATGTATAAAGGCGGTGTGGTAAGGGGATGACAGGAATTTTTCCTCACCGGGCACCACCTGATTTTGCCACGCCATTGTCGGGAATATGGGAATCAGAAGGGCTTAGAAAACAATGGTTTTAGTTTCTGTATAGGTCACAGATAACAAAGATCAATTTAATTTTTGTGTCAATGTAGGGGATTGCTAGGTGTGGGCAAAGTATGGTGTGGCCTCGTTACACGGGACCGCTACGGTAGCCATGAAGGCCACCCTGGGTCACCACGAAACGTCCTGGCTAACGGGGCTCTGGTGAAGTTGCGACAGGCCTAGCAAGCCGGCAATGGATTTATTATCGCTACAGAAAACACAATGAGATATAAACGGACTGATCAAACGGTATCTGACCATGGCTATGTTAAGGGACTAGGAGACAGAAAAGCGAAATATCCCTCGACACCCACAGCGGTAAAAGGGGAAGTGAAGAAGAAGAAGAAGTCAATGTATAAATGTATAAGGCAGCGGTTCTTAACCTGTGGGTCGTGAACCTTTTTGTGGGTCGAACGACCCTTTTAAGGCGTCGCCAAAGATAATCGGAAAACACACATATTACTGAGGTTATGAACTAGCAACGAAAGTAATTGTGTGGCGGGGGTCGCCACAACACGAGGAACCGTGTTAAAGGGTAGCGGCATTAGGAAGGCTGAGAACTGCTGGTATAAGGGGAAATGAACAAGCGGAAAGGCGTGCAGGCTACGCTCTGGCACTGGGAGGACTAAGGCATGACCTGGGGTGGCCCGGTCTCGAAGCCACTTGTAGCCTGCAATACACGATAAAGGAAGTTTACCAGTCAGCACTAAGATGACGGCCCTTCAAACAACGCACAGAAAACCTAGCTCGATAGACACGGGAGCTACAACACTGAAAAACGCACAATGAAAAAAAAGAGAATGAACAGGAGATAAAATTATAGTTAATATTATTTATAACATTAGGAAGATAAAGGGATCGAAACACTTGTCGGGAGGGGGGGGGGGGCACTTTAGATGATCAGGAGACTCTAGTTCTGTGTGTCCCCCCCCCCGCCCTTTTTTCTATTTCCCAATTCCTCCACTATCACTTCCAGCCAACTGTTTGGAGTACCTTCGATCGACCAGTCAATTGGTTTGTCACCTCCCGCTAACCATTTGGAGTACCTTCAATCGATCACTCGATTGGTTTGTCATCTTCTGCCAACCATATGGAGTACCTTAGATCGATCAATCGATTGGTTTGTCACATTCTGCCAACTATATGGAGTACCTTTGATCGATCAATCAATTGGTTTGTCACCTCCCGCCAACCATATGGAGTACCTTAGACCAATCAATCGATCAATCGATTGGTTTGTCACATGCCGCCATCCATATGGAGTACATTTGATAGATCGATTGTTTGATACCTCCCGCCAGCCATATGTCACCTCCCGACTGCTACCAACAGATTTACCTTGCAATCCTAAGATTAAATAATCTCATTCTATATGGCAGACCAACATAGAGGACCCCATATACTCCAGGTGTATCCTACCAAAACCGTCTCCCTCTGACGGGCCATGC